CAGCAGCATGAAACAGATCAGCAGCAGCATGAAACAGATCAGCAGCAACATGATGTGATTTTTCACAGTGATTATTCTAGTTAGAGATTCATGAGTCTAACAGCCTCAGGGTAGAAGCTGTTCCTCAGTCTAGTGGTTCTACACTTAATGCTCCTCAACCTCCTTCCTGAGGGGAGTGGGGCAAAAAGTGTGTGTGCTGGGTGGGTGGGGTCCTTCATGATGCAGGTGGCCCTCTTCCTGCATCTGGAGGTGTAGATGTCTGTGATGGTGGGGAGGCTGACTCCAACATCTTCTGTGCAGCCTTCACCACTCTCTGCAAAGCTTTTCTTTCTGCAGCTGTGCAGCCTCCATGCCACACGTTGATGCTGGAGCACAGGATGCTCTCCACTGCACACCTGTAGAAGGAGGTGAGGACTGAGCTTCCAGACCAGCTCGCCTCAGCCGTCTGAGGAAGTAGAGTCTCTGATGAGCTTTCTTCATCAGGCTGGTGGTGTTGTTGCTCCAGCTGAGGTTGTTGTTCAGGTGCACACCCAAGTTCTTGTAGCTGGAGACCACTTCCACTGCAGATCCTCTTATATTCAGGGGGGTGTAGGTGTTTTTGTTCCTTCTGAAGTCCACAATCATCTCCTTTGTCTTCTTCACATTGATGTGAAGGTTATTCTCTTTGCACCAGCTCTCCAGGTGTTCCACCTCCTGCCTGTAGCTGGACTCATCATTGTTTGTGATGCATCCCACCACCGCTGTATCATCTGCAAACTTTACAATGTGACAGCCTGGATGGGTAGCTGCACAATCATACGTGAGCAGAGTGAACAGGAGGGGGCTCAACACACATCCCTGAGGAGAGCCAGTGCTGAGGGTTATGGTGGAGTAGGAGAGGTTGTGGATCCTCACTAACTGTGGGCTCTTTGATAAAAAGTCTAGGACCCAGTTGCAAATGGAGGGACTTAGTCCTGGTGCGAGTAGTTTGTCCATCAGGGTTTGGGGGATCATGGTGTTGAAGGTAGACGTGAAGTCCACAAAGAGCATACGGACGTAGGAGTTCTTCTGCTGCAGGTGGGTGAGAGCAGTGTGGACCACAGAGGAGATGGTGTCCTGTGTTGATCAGTTCTCACAGTATGTACTGGTGAGGGTCCTTGTATGGTTGTTCTGTGGGTCATGACCAGTTTTTAGAAGCACTTAGCTACCATCAGGGTGAGGGCCATGAGTCATGCTTTGTGTGTTCGTTATTGTGCAGGTGCTCTGTTGTGATGCTGCACAGAGGAGCTGCAGGAGGAGGACATCACCTTCCATTCCCCACCAGCGGACCTGTCATCAACTTTAGATCCTGTAGTTGTAAAAAGTTTTGTGAGGAGTTTCCAGAGGCGACACTTGGACTTTTCTCCTGTGTTCCATTAGCACAGTGAGGTGAGGCTTCTTAACTGTACCTGTCTCCAGGTAGAGACAATCCAGTGGTTTGTTCTGTTTGTTGTTTGGTCTGAAGTTGGTAAAACTCCACAAAGTCCATCACTTCACTATTGTAAGTAAAATCACTGCTCCATCATATAATCTGACACAAGGTGGAACCACCCAGGATTAACGGAGACCTGGTGGCTGCTGATGTGCTGGGTGTGACGTCACGTTGTTGTTGTTGTTGTTGTTGCTGCTGCTGTTTTACCCTCCATGAATTAAAGGGTTAGTTCAAAGACTCGGTTGTTTTTCTGTAAATCTGTAAAATCAGCTCAAAGTGAGTTCCGTGGTCTTGGAGACATAAAGTAGCTAAACTTTAGCAGCTGGGTCCTGCTCCCTCCAGCTGATCTTCAGCTACGTGTCAAAAAACAAAACTAAATAAAGAGTTAGCTGACGGCGCGTTGAGCAAAACCGCACTCTGAACCGAGTCGGACCCGAACCCGGAGGCTGTGAACTCACCACACCATCCCGTAGGCGCCCTCCCCGATGTAGGACAGGTTGCTGTACCGAGGCCCGACGTCGAAGGCCTGCCCGCGGACCAGCTCGGTGCCCGGGCCGGGGCTGGGGCCGGAGCCAGCGGGGGCAGGCGCCGCAGCTGTCGCCATCACGGTTCGGCTTCTACCGGGGATCGATGCGCACGAGACGAGGGGTCTGGAGCGGCCGCGCGGAGCTTCAGGGAGGCCTTGAGGAGGTCTGGAGGGCTGCTTCTCTTTCCGGTCCGCTCGAAGCGACCACACCGCTGCTAGGCTGAGGCGGGCGGGGAGGCGGCGGCGGCGCTGCAGGAAATAACGGAGGGGTCACGTGACGGCTGGGCTGCGCTCCATTTGCGATCCGGTTGACAGAAAGGCTCAACGCGTGGGCGGAGTTTGTACTCTTTCAAGCAGCGTTTTTTTGTTTCATTCAACCTTTATTTCTACAGGTTAGTCCCATTGAGCCCCGGGACTCACAGAGAGACCTGGTTTCAACCAAGAATGAAGACAAACAAAGACAACAAACTTTCATAAAGGAAGTGTACAAACTGAGAATAACGAGAGAAAATATAAAATGGTATTTAAAAGAAAGATTTAACAAAAAACAGCTAGATTGTAAGGCCGTGTAAAAAAACTAAAGACAGGAACATCTGCATGAACTTCACAGATGTTTGAAGCCACTTAGAGAGGTCAAAGGTCGAGCGCTTCAGATCTTTTTACAAGATGTTCCAGGAAACAGGAGCGGAGCAGAAGGCGTGGGAAGCCAGGGGATGATTTTAGTATTCTTGAAATCTCCATTGCACATTTCTTTTGTCAGCTCTCAGTGTCGTAATAAACCTAGTCCACGCTGAATTGATATCCCCCATCGGATGTGTGACCTCCTCCCGCCGGCGGGGGACGCTTTACTCGCGAAATAAGAGTGAAGCTCCTGTTTCGTGACTTTCAACCGGGTCATTTTCCGGCTGACAATAAACGAGTGCGCCATTCTGACGTCTCTCATGTGCAACATTAACAGGTTTGCAAATTAAACTGAGACAAACGTTTCATAAATAATTGACACTTAAGTCTAAATCTTATTTTTAAGCAAACTGCATGTATTTTAAATATGATTTATGTTCATTAAATTCATCCTCAATTCAATTCGGTTTAATTATTAAGCACCAAATCACAACAGCTGTCTCAGGACTTTACAGCAACATTCACATAAAAAACATTTAGTAAAGTTCTCTGTCAGTTAGAAACATAACACAAAATACTAAAGCAAGTCAGTATTTTTCTAGATAATCGAGTAAACTTTTATTATTCATGTATTTACTTGAATATTATTATTTAAAACAATACACTGAGTTTTTGAGGACATTTGGCACCCAGAAAGAAGTGTTACCAAAAGAAGTTTATTTAAGTGTACTGCAAGTATACTTATTTTACACTAAAAATAAGGAGGTGTGCTTGAAGTTTACTTTTATAAACTTTATTTGATATTTTTAAACATAGTATAAAAATGTCCCAATTTAGTCCAAGCAAGTATTAAATCAGTATATTTTCTAGTACACTACAAGTATGGTGTGTAGTATACTTGATATACTTATACTTAACTTAAAGTATACTTGCAAAATCGAACTTCAGATGTAGTACTTTTTGTTAAGAGTTGCTCATCTCCATTTTGATATTTCCTCTGTTGTTTGGAATAAACAGAAGTACAGAAAAGAAAAGAGATTATCTGTCCTTATTTGATGATTCAGCCTCATGTTTATGATCCTCATCTCCATCGTCCAGCTGTGGAGGCAGCAGGTCCAGCGTCCAGCTGTGGAGGCAGCAGGTCCATCGTCCAGCTGTGGAGGCAGCAGGTCCATCGTC